CCCCACAATTCCAGCCATAAACCTCCCACCAGAGAGACTCCATCTTTAACTGTGTGTGTGTGTGTGTGTGTGTGTGTGTGTGTGTGTGTGTGTGTGTGTGTGTGTGTGTGTGTGTGTGTGTGTGTGTGTGTGTGTGTGTGTGTGTGTGTGTGTGTGTGTGTGTGTGTGTGTGTGTGTGTGTCAAGTATCAACAACAACAATGCCCCCGCAGCACCAGATGGACAGCCATGAATCACAACCCCATACACACACAGGAGAGTCCATAAATAGTGTTACAGTTATGAGGGTAAAGACATGGTGGTGAGCCCCCGGTCCCCCCGAGGGTCCTGCGGGCTGAGGCAGCATGCGAGCCACCGTCCCATAACTCTCCCATTCTTCCAGTGACAGAAAGACTTTTCATGCTCTCATTTACTTGTGAATAAATCATAGAGGGGAAACACTGCCATGCTCTTATTCTTTGTTTTCCACCAGCAATGATGGAGGGTTGTCTGGAAGCGTTCTGCAGAGAAGAACCAGATGTTTGGAGACTGTGTGAGACAAAGAGAGACAGAGATAAGGAAAAAGACAGGGACAGGGAGGTTGAGACTATTTCCAAGTTACCCATATGATGGTTTTTTACCAAAATAAGAGGGCAAATTATGACAGACAGAAAGATGGTATAAGGACCTGAAAGTATCAAGGTTAATGAAACGAGAACCAACAAGTTAAAGTCTTTCAAGTGGTGAAACTAAACACATTACTCATTCTTAAGTGCGATTTTTAAGGTACTTCACATGAATATTTCCATTTGCTGCTCTACTTTATACTTTTACTCAACATTTTCCAAGCCATTTTTGTACTTTTTATCCCATCAAATGTATGTGACAACATGTGTTAATAGTAGTTACTTTCAAGATTCAGATTATAACTGTGTATAAAACTATAAACTATGACTTCGAAGAACTAACACTGATGTACTTTTTGATTAAGCTACCAAGCAGTTATGAAAGTTATTGACATTACTCTCACCCTAACATCTGCAACATTATCCGAATGCATGCATCTATAATTATAAAACAGTGATATAGATATAATTCTGACGTCGACCATTGTGCATAACGAGTACTTTTATTATTTTTACGAAAATGTTTGAATGAAGGACCTATACTCATATTGTTTGTATGTTTACACTATAGTATTAGTACATTACCTTCAGTAAGAGAGTAACATCAAGATTTGTTATCATCTTCAGAATATGAGTAACACCTTGGTTAGACAAATTATAACCATGTGATGCGTTTGTAAATAGAAACAACCCCCTGGATTTCCCCTTAAAGTTTAATTTCACACCAGACTAAATACACTTTTCAAACATTTTCATGCCCTTCTCCTTCAACACTTCCTTACTAATCAGCGCACTGTAACACCAATCAGTTACAGCCATCTTTAACCACACAGATGCCAGACCATGAGAATTTATACATATAATCCTTTCACTTTTATAAAGGGGGTTTAAGCATGGCCATCGTCTGAGGGGTCAGGCGGTTGTTGCAAGTGTGTTTCTGTTAAACCCCCATGACTGAATCTATTTTCTGAGGCACCTATGACACTCATCTGGACCACAACAATGCCCCCTTTCTCCTCTCCGCCTCACGCTTGGCTGGCTTCTCTGAATACAACCCAGGGCCAAATAATCCATACCCCTGAACCCCCACACAGCACTCACATACGTAGAAACACACATGAATACACATGTTGGCACTTAAATGGTCGCATGTGTTTTGTCTCACTGGAAATGTAAGTCTCACTTCTTGTAGGATCTACCAACACACCCCTAAAACTCTTAGCTTAAAGTGGACCTATTATGCTATATTGGGAAAATATATTGTAGGGCCATACCTATACAAAACATGTCTGTGAAGTGTTTTGCTTAAAATACCAAACAGATCACCCATTGTAGCCATGCCTCATACTGCTCATACCCCTCTTTTGAAGCCCTGTTAGAGAAACGCGGATTTTGGGTCCTTAGCTTAAAAAAAAAAAAAGAGGAGGCGGAGCTAATGCCTGATCAGAATTCTACCGGAGATAAAGTTAAATTCTGCTGTGATAAAACGCCATCCTGTTCTAAACCACATCAAGGATTATTTCTGAAATAGTATGGAGCTCAAATGCTTTTTCTCTTGCGGGTTTATCACAAGGTGAGTTCCTTTTTTTATTTCCTGCTTTTTAAACACATGTGCTCTCCAGTACAGGTTAGCTCTGAGTGTTAGCGAGGCTTGCTAATGTAAACAAAGACGAGATTACCCAAGACACGTCAGGCATTGTTTCTGATGGCAACTTTCTGTGGGTCCGCCGCCGATATTACGTCATATCGGCAGCAAATCTGTATCCGCTCGTTGTACCCCCGTTTTTAAAAGATTTGGGTACGGAGGAAAAGAGAAAGGGTTTTATTTTCTGACGCTGCGTGAGTTCCCTGACATCAAAAAGTGCATTTTGCATGTTAGGTCCCCTTTAAGTAAACACCTACACATGATAAACTTTTATTCACTCAGAGCACTAAATAAAACAGGCACACTATACATGCTGGAACACTTGAACATCCACAAGAGAGCAAATCAGAATCAGAAAACTCAGAAATACAACACTGCCCTCATGTGGAGTGATTGAAGAAATACTTTTATTTTAATTTCCTCTTCAATATAAATTAAATTAAATAAAAAATATCAAAACAGTGTCCACTCTTGGGTTTATCAGTCTTATTTTGATCAAAGTTGATCCACATTTGGATATACAACTCTTTAAACTGAGGACAGGAAATCAATCTAACTCTAAATAATGTGAACAATTGTCCACTGTATTAAACTGTAAACAGATACTTCCTATGGGTTTTCTCTTAACTTAACCTTTCACTTAGAACAGTTATGCTATTATTATGCATAATACTGAGTTGTGTTTGAATTACAACACAAACCCTTTTATTTCATATCATTTCTTACAATCCATTTGGCTTGAATACATACAACACAAAAGTATTACAAACTATAGCCCAGTGGCGGCCGGTCCATAGGGGCGCTAGGGGCGCCGCCCCACCTCTTCCCATATTGAAAAAAAAAAAAAAAAAAAAAAAATTAAAATTAAAATAAAAAAAAAAAAAAAATGTTTAAAAAAAAATATATATTTTTATTTTTATTTTTAATGAACAAGGTAAATATTATATAATTGGTATCAGTAAAATGTATAATCTACAATAAAATCTCGTTTAAAATTGTGTTACGATGTCTAAAGTTACTGATAAGTCACATGTTTCCTGCCTGGCCTTGCCCATGCACCTTCTCTCGTCTGGGCGCTAAGAGAGGAGCCTTCAACCAGTGCAGCAGCAGCCACTAGCAGCTGACTGTTGCTATCTGTAACGTGTAAACTATGCCGCGAAAATATAATTTCAGCCAATCAGCGTCGTCAAAGATGACGGTCACCGGGCGCCAATGTCAGCGCCCAGTGCAGTCTGTGAGTAGTTTGGACAGTGACTCGTATCCGGTTGACGCAGTAGTTGATGAGGATGGCTTCGTGTGCAGGTGGAGTCTCCGGACCTCGGTCCCCGCCTAATTCTGTTCAAGAGCTAATCTCCAATCCTTTCGAAAGGAGAAGTTTGGCAGATAAATTGTTGCTTAAAGACCTTGGACCGGACCAACCCGATTTGAATATATCGCAGCAATCTCGTGAAAAAGACAAAACTTATACACGAGGCTTCGCAAGTAGCTGGTACACAAAAAAGGCTTGGCTAGCTGGATGCAAACAGGTAAATGCTGTCTTTTGTTTCCCATGCTTGGATATCACTTTATATGTAGAGAGGAGGTTTCCCATGGTTGTTAGAAGTTTATTAATAAGTGGGGCATTTATCACAGAAGTGATTGTTCTGTCTCCACGTTTGTTGCATTGTCTGTGATGTATTTTCCAACGGTTATAGCTCCTGTTCTGTCCCAGCAACACTACACGGTTTGCAGCTCCACCACATTTTTGGTTTATCTTCGGTGTCGCTTAAAATCTGCTTCCCATCGGACTAAAACCTCCACGTAATCTGAAGACAGATACTTGAAGTTATTTAAACCTTTTGCAAACTTTATGTTCTTTCTTGCTCTAGCCTTGCCAGTTACATTGTACATAACACATATATTATCATTATGCTAAGTGGTTGTTCGTGTTAGACGATGTAGCTTTTTCATTTCTGAGTTATTGCTATATGTAAATAAGCCTGTTTGTAAATAATCCTCAGAGAAACAAAGAAAAAACACAATCTATGACATTTTGTGCTGTGGTTATTTTTTTTAAATTGCATTTATTCACAGTTCAGTTTGAAATGCTGTAGTGACTTGTATTGAACCACTTAAATATTTATAATTAATGCTACTGAAAAGATGCTATTAATTTTATATCTCACATGCAGTTCACTGTAAAGCTACTTGGTGAAGGTGTTGGTTCATAAAACATGAACAGTTTTAAGAAAGAAAAAAACAGACCAGTTCTGAGAACACAAATTCCTGGTAAAGTAGTAGATGTTCAGGTTGATAAATAATATTTTCCACACTGAAGATTATGGAGGTATTGATCAGTCTTCTCATATTTTTAAGCCTCGATTTCTCCTTCCCCCCCCCTCTAACATCACCAGAAGTCATCATTTAAGGGGTCATTTCTCGAAAAAAAATTCCGGGGGGAAACCCCCGGGTAGGTCACTTACGGTACGTCAAGAGCCCCACCAAAAAAAAAGACCACCGGCCGCCACTGCTATAGCCCATTCATTCACAGGCACCCAGTGTACAAGGACTATAAGAGCAGCTGTAAAACAAACTTTAAACTTACAAGACAAAAAATAAGGACATCAAACAATGGTATTTTCCAGGTTTTTATTATATATTTAAAAAATAAAAACGTAAGAAAAATAATATCATTGGATAAAAAGTGAATCATTGAATGTTTAGATATGCCTTTGAATGGAGTAGTTATACAGATGTTGCCTGTTACCCCACTCATACGTCTAGTTTCTGTGTGAATAGCTGATAAGCAGCTTTCAGTGTCCGGTCTATAATAGAAACATCACAACGTCGTCACAGTGGGTGAATATGGTTACTTTGAGATGGGCAGAGCCGCTTTGTTTTGGACACGATCCATGCTTCACATTATCTGATCTTCAGCCTGCGTGTTGAAACAAAGCGGATGCTCACAGAGAATAACCACAGGAACAAGTAAGAGTTTATTTTCTAACTTTAACCTATTGGCAATTACATTGGCTAAAAATACATTGTTCAATAGTGGGTCTACACTGTTAGTTAATCTAAAAATGTGCAATTTTTTCTTTACTCTGTTGATTGTGTGTTATGAATAACTGAGACAGCTTGTTAATAACAATTTATTTTGCTATATTAATGTATTATTATTTGTAATTGTCAAGCTGAAGCTTTGATGCAAATATCCAAGAGATCAGAGATTTCTTTCCATATTTTTTCAGCATTAAAGCTATTGCTTTTCTATTCTGTACATACATTATAAGACAAATATAAGCTCCTCTGCTTTGCAAGATGTCTCGCATTTATCTAAAGTTCTACAAAACTGCAGTATTCTTGTTCTTGTCTTCTAACACTTTACTGTGTGCTCTGGTTTATATATTTTGAGTGCATTATTTAAAACGATTGTTCCATCTAATTTGTTGAATTAATCCTGAGTGTTTTTATGGTTAATGATGCAAACATCATTCCCAAAATTATATATATTTCTTACAGCCTTCCTGAAACTACAGCTAATGTGAACACTGCTGTATTTACCTCTCAGTAGGAGTGTAGTGCTCCCCTCTCTCTGGCCCCCCCGCAGCCAGTTGGCTGGCTTTGATAAGAGACTGAAGGCGGTGAGGTAACCATTCGACTGCTTATCTTCACAGCCATTTAAAGGGCTGGTGCTTCTCGGGGTTATTTAACTTGTCTTTATTTTGGTCATCGCTTTCTCAATTCACCGTTTAATTCTCTGTTGTGACTGAACTTTTTGAAAATGTTGTTGGATTTTAAATAATCAAATAAACACGTTTACAGTCACATTTCCTTGAACATCAGTACAGTTTTATTAAATTCAGTCAGAAGAGCCTAAGTAACTTTAAGGCACTCTTGGCATATCTCATTCAAGTAACTGTAAAATATTTCTTCCAAACACTTGCATTTTATAAGGGGTTGATTTTTGGTTAATTTACACACTTTGACTAACTAGCACTTATTTCACTTTGATTTAACTAAATGTAAAATGTAATGTTATATTTTTATTCCATTCTATTTCAATGTAAATACTGCTTTATTTTATTTTTTATTTCACTATATTTTTCTTATTTATTTTGTTATGTTATTATTATGTTAATGTTGTTGTTCTTAAAATAGCTATCTGTGTTTTTTTATTTTTGTTTTACTTTTATGTATGCACCACGACACCAAGTCAAATTCCTCGTACCTGTCAACCTGGTGATAAACCCGTTTCTGATTCTGATTCTGATACTCCACATATTTGCTTAGCTCTTACATTGGCTAAACTACTTTATTTTAACTTCAGTCCATTGCCAAAAAGACAGATAAAACCCACACAGACAGACACACTCACACATTTAAAAACATTTATATCAGGAAATACTACTTCACTTCTTCTGAGCGCGGCATCATTTACCAAAATGTGCCATCAGAGGGCGACATCTCACAATCTTCTTTCTCACATCCATGCCACATTGAGAGTTCAGAGAAAATATCTAAATAGAACCATTGTCTGCAGTACGTTATTCACTTTTACATAGTGGACCTTTTTCTAAACTGGTGTTTTGATGGAATACTGTATACACAGCAGGACTGTGGATTAGTTATATTAATTGTTTACTACAAGTTAGTGATAGATCTGTTTCATTGCGGCTGTGCTTTCCTTTAGCGTTGTGTCTCCCTGTCTGACACCAACTAATTATAATGCAATACTCAAACCATTCACAGGAGTTTGGGCAAAAAACATGAGGGAAAGGGATACAGAAAGACCTTAGGGTGGCACAGAATTGAAAAAAGCCCACAAATAATTGCACCATAATCTGTCTCCTCAGACATGGCAGTGAGCAGGCTGTGAGGAGGGAAAACCTCGTAATCTGTCCTGCCTGCCGCTCACTGCAGCCAGCAGTGAAGGGTGATGCTCAGGATAGCTTCCCTAATAGGGTTACATGATAGCACATGTCAGTGAAAGGGAACCTGGATAGACAAACATCTAAACACACTCTACACCACAAGAGTAGTCAGGGTTGCATTTTTCACCCCCTGCTAGGAGTTAAAGGTCCCCTATTATACTCTTTTTCATCAATATATTATAGTTCTCAGTTACAAAACATGTCTCTGAAGTGTTTGGCTCAAAACACCAAACAGATCATGCATTGTAGCATCCCATAACTCTGTTTCAGCCCTGTTTCAAAAGTGCTGATTCTCTGTCTGTTACTTTAGATGAAAATAAGGAGCTACTCCCCATGCCCCTCTGTGAGATATTTGGTTAAAATAAAACAGAATGGTGCTATAGGAGGAGATTCAGGTGATAAGGTGCTACACAAGCCAAAAAAACATTATGACATCACAAAGTGGCCAACATCTGATCAGCTCATTTTCAGACAGGATTTTATATAAATGGATCAGGACGAAAAGAGAGCGAATCTTTTTTCCTGAAAGTTTCAGAATCTCTTTAGAGGGGGCACATGTTTATGTATAACATGAAAAAGTGGATTTTGCACCATAGCTGACCTTTAAAGTCATTACAGCTGAGAGAGTTGACTAGAAATTGTACATTGGCTATAGCTTAAGGATTCCCTTTTCTTCCAGATATCACTGAAGTCCTGTTTGAGTATCGGGTGCCTGAGAGGATGGAGCCAGAGGCAGAGCGGGAGTCTGAGGCCTGGGTTCCAGACAACAGCCAGGCCGGGCCTTCCTCTCCGGACTCCTCTGGGATCGAGGGAACCGTCGACCGGCTGCAGGAGATGATGAACGGCATGGAGACGCTGCTGACAGACATGGAGGAGTTACGGAGCGACTGCAGCCAACAGACTACTGAGCTGATAAGTGCAGCGCTGGACCTGAGGACGCAGCAGGAAGAGATAAAGGAGGGTTACTCTGAGTTGTCCAGGGAGATGCAGGAGCTCCTCGACACAGTGGAAGGCTTTTTGAGCACCAAGTGTGACTTCCAACCCTCAGAGAAGGAAGAATTAGCTGAGCAGCAGAGAGAGCCCAAAGAGACGGAGAGTGACTGACAAACTTTAAAGATTCTAGTTTAGGAGATACAACTGTGATGTGTGAGGTTGTGAATCTGGATGCATGAGTCAAAATCTGGATGGCATGGGTTTGGAAGTTGTGTGAGAAGCTGAGTTTTTGAAAAAGATCGATTTTTAAATTACATTTTAGGACATTTTGTTGAGCAAATAGTTCTTTTTAGGTCTATATCTGAAAATCTGTCCACTGAAAAAGAGTTTCTAATATCCATGATTCGTTTTCAGTTCAGTAAATATATCACAGTGCATACAACTTTTAAAAAAAACAACCATAACACGGAATAAATACCTCTCTGTCGTATACTTTTAATAAAACATCATGAGCTTAACAAGGGTACAATTTGTTGCATAGCTTACTTTCTAGATTGCCACGTGCCACTGATTTTAACACAAGCGATGACAAGACCATAATCCTGCGCTGCATGTGATTTATATGCCTCCTACTGTACTGTCATCTGTATTTCTGCTACCACCCAGAAACAAACACACACACTTAACAGCTATATCATTTTCCAGCACCAAGGTATTTTATGTTGACAGATATGATTTAAGTATGTTACTCTCTTCAGCCTGGATGGCTCCTTCAGCTTCTTCTTTGATGAATTTATGGCACAGGAATGCTGCTCTTCTTTTGGTACATCTTCCATATTCTCTTCCCATCCAAGCTCCACTGTGGTTTCGCGCTAAAATAAACCTAAATGTGATGTTTACTTCCCACCAGCACCCCTGCTGCTACCCACTGGTCTGTATTTAGTGGTCAGGAGATGTGTGAAGGGGACAATCAGTGGACAGCAACCTGAAAAGAAATCAAGGACCTTCAAGATCCCTCCACCTTAAATGTCATTTTAGTGGGTTCTTATGTCATGGACACAGGTTATGCAACCACTTAATTATGTGTACCAAAATATTCTCTTCCTCTTCTGTGTTGGAACAAACTTAATGCAAATGTTACGCAAACGCCCATATTTGTTTTCTAAATGTCTCAAAGTAAAACATGTGGCTGGTATGGAAAATACTTTATATAAATATCATCATGAGTAGACCCACAGCCTGAGGGTCTTAAGAAGAAATTATAGCTTATGTTAAACGTTAAAAAAAGAAGTACGAATCTTTTTTTGAGGGAATCTGTTTACGTGTGGCTGAAACCTGACACTATATAGGCTGAGGGGTTGGTGAGCAGAGAGGGTGAGGAGAAGCTGTGCAGCCGTGCCTACCTTCATCACTACTGAGGTGTTCATCTCTCTGCACTGCTCACAACCAGCCGGAGTCACTTCAAGAAGGTAAGACATGATCTGATGGCATTCACGGTTTCATTTATCCTGGTTTAAACTTTTTGCACATTCATATGTCTAAGATATTTGCAAAGAAATGACTATAGACATCAAGAAATGTAGCTTTCATCTCATATGGAATTATCATTTATATTGAATTACAATTTAAGGTGTTTTCAGTGGTGGCATGTAACAAAGTTCATTTACTTACGTTTTGTATGTATGAGTATTTTCCTTCCATGCCACTTTACATTTCTGCTCTTCCACATATTGGAAGAGTGGGGAAATATTGTATTTTCTACCCTACAGTGAATTAATCTGACAACTTTAGGAGTGGGTATTTTTACACACAAAACATATAATGCTTTAAAACAGGATGTTTTATTATAAATTGAAATACCCAACATTTTCTTTAAATACAGCTTGAATGTTAACTCAATTAATAATTATTTGTAAAAAAATGTATTGGAAACTGTTTTCTATAATCTATTGACAGTCTTTATGTGAAAACTGGTTCCAGCTGAGTTCTTAAAAAAAAAAAAATTGTCACATTTGTATTCAATAATCAAGCTTTTCATCATTGTTTACTGTTTGACACAACAAGCATTGTGATGATGAATGCATGTGCAATAATAAAACAATTATATATTAACATAATAGTATAGTTAATTTTCCTGATTATACTGAACTGTAACTTCGTACACTTTGGTATGAGTAAAATATCTGAATACTACTCCACCATTGTTTTTCTTCTCATTGCTATTCTCACCAACAGTTCTGCAGAAGCTTCTAGTGAAAATGAATATTATACAAGTCCTGGGTCTCCTACAGCTGCTGGTTGTACCTGCTTTCACTGTAAGTCTCAGTATTAACAATATCTATAATATTGTCCCAATTGCATGTCCATAACAAGTGATTTAAAACAGATATAAATAGCAAAGAACACTTTGTACAGTATGTCCAAAATCTCAACAGGCAAAGGCACACTATGTTATTTCTGACACATGTGGTGTTTAAGTGCCACAAAGAGAGTTTATGCAAAGTGTCTGGGATGGTTTGTGGCGAAATGTTCCAGTTTCTATTTCAGTGTCTCCAGGATGCTCATAACGTGTGTTAGTGGTTGGTGGTGTGGGATATGATGATGTGTGAGAGCATGTATGTGTTCCAGAGGCTGGAGGAGTGACTAGTGTTTTTATTTTTTCAGCTGATACTGCCAAGCCATGACTACTGGGGAGAGTTTACAGCCTACGGGCCCTGCAGCCGCACCTGTGGCACAGGCGTGGCAATGAGAACCAGGAAATGTGTCACCTCCAGGTTAGAAATAGGGTGACAGGATGGAACATATACTATACTAAAGATTTTACAATACTTAAAAGTAGGACAGTAATTATTTGTTTGAAATCCTCTTTTTAAAAGTGACTACTATATTCTATATAAATGATCATAATCATATTATTGAAGTGCACCTGATCTGCATGACCAATAAAGCCAAATACATTTAACAATAAAGAGAGTTATCTGGCTTTTATGTTATTAATATTATTTTTCTTTTCTCTTATAGGACTGATGGAGGGCATAACTGCCTAGGATCCTCTAAGTCCTTCCAAACCTGCAACACACAGGTCATTTGAGGCCTCTTTATTAATGAGATCCACCCACAACCTTCATTAATGTATCCTAAAACATGCCAATAATCCAACATTGTGTCACAACAGGCATGTGCAGTTGGAACCAAGGACTACAGGCAGGAGCAGTGCTCCCTGTTTGACAGAACGGACTTTCAGAGCAAACACCATACATGGGTGCCTTATTATGGATGTATGTAAAAGACCTGTTATGTACTGTACATTTTCTTAAGTGTTTATGATTTATTATGAGATTGATTTAACATTATTGGATTACCAGAGGTGTTGGTGTTGATTAAGTCTTCACTGACACCCTGGCAAACGATCTAAAAGTTAGTGTTGCTGTTTGATGTATTTACCTATCTATTATTTGTTCTGTAGCGGCCAATCCATGTGAGCTGAGCTGTGTCCCAAGAGGGCAGAACTTCTTCTACAGACACAGACCATCAGTGGTTGATGGGACACCGTGCTATGTGGGCCGCACTGATATCTGTGTGGATGGAGTCTGCAGGGTGGGAACAATAATTAGATCCATAATGCAATGACAGACTTTCAGTGCTTCATAATGTACTGTTTATCTATAGAATATCATTGCCTATTCTCCTAAATAAGTAGCTTTTATTTGCGTTTACAAGTGCACAAGCACAGTGGTGTAATGAAAAAAATGTGTCTTTTCAGGTTCTGGTCCATGGAGAGTTTATGGGCTTGGATGAAGACACTAATTCTGTTCACTCTGCTAACATCGTTGCTACTCGCCCAAGGGAGACACTTACATACTACTACAAAACTGGTGTCTATGGCCAGTGCTCTGCCTCTTGCAATGGAGGCATGCAGTACCGCAGTGTGAAATGCTGGGTTCAGGACACAGCAAACCCCCGTGTGGTGGAGGAGTTTCACTGCATCAACCAGCGCCTGCAGAGGCCACAGAGCCAGCAGGCCTGCAACATGCATCCCTGTGCCGAGTACAGCGTCTCCAGCTTCAGCGTGGTGTGTACCTCACAGAGAACTTTATTTTTATATATATGATATATATATATAACAGACAGGCAATGGCATATTGTTGCTTGCAATTAAATGAAAAGAAGTTAAAGCATTAATGAGAATAGAAAGATAGAATCCAATACTTATTTATTAAAGCAAAGTGGCTAAGAGTACCATTTCATTATCACTTTTCCTATGTTTTTGCACAGTCCAAGGGTGGAAAGACACATCGATATCTTTGTCATTGGAAACATTGAGATTTAAGTTAAATGTGATACCAATTTAAAATAATTGTATATGATATAGAGCCTATCAACTGTCTTGATTATGGTCTCATATATTGTAATTTTCCTGAGGTTAGTCAAGTCAGGTCACTTTTATTTGTAGCCCAATATCACAAATCACACATTTCTCAGGGGACTTACATTCTGTACGGTGTAGCATACACCACCATTTGTCCTTTTTGACCATAGATCCAGAATAAGTTAAACTTACCACCATCAAGGGATATATTTTTATATGGAAAAACCCTTAGGAAAATGAAAATACAAGGACAATAAAGACAATCCTGGAAACAAAATGATATGCACCATGATTTATTTGGTAATGATGGTTTGCTGTGGGACTGACATTTTAAACTATCTTGTCATATATGATGCTCAGTGCTCGGTGACTTGTGGGGAAGGCCAGCAGACGAGGGAGGTGTTCTGCGTGGGGCCGGGAGGTGAACGCCTGGCTGACCACGCCTGCAACGGACTGGCAAGACCCTCTTCTGTCCAGGCCTGTCGCAGACCCGCCTGTTACACACACATCACCTGGCATGTGACCGACTACGGCCTGGTAGGTAACATGCAGAGTGTTGTGGACTGGGAAGGAACCTTTGCCTCTCCCCACATTATTCACCCTCTCCCCTCCTGTCTCTGCAGTGCACCATGAGCTGTGGTGGTGGTGTGAGGGAGAGGAGAGTGGGCTGTTTTGATACAGATTTGAACCCCTACCCAGAGGCCCGGTGTGGAACAGTTAGCAGACCCGTCTCTGTGGAAACATGCAACTCACAGCCATGCCACGCAGCACAAAGTGAGCCAAATCTGAACCAGTCAAACTCTTTTGGTTTTATTGTCTTTGCATGTTTGTATTTAACTAATGTACCTTATCTTTAGTGGTCCCAAGTGTGCAGGACCCAAGGGCACATGAAACCACCACAAGAGGATTTGTGCCCCATGTTCCAGAAGACCCTTCAGGTATGTACAGCATCAAATCAAATCAGGTTTTATTTATATAGCACATTTAAAAGCGATTTTTGGTCGAGCCAAAGTGTATAATGTAATGTAATAAAAACACATTACTACAAATCACAATAAACGACAATAAATTACAACAGATATATCTTATATATATATATATAAGCATGTGGAGGATGTTTTATTAAAAATGTTATTCTCTTTCTACGCATTTAAAATGAAATTATTTTGAATATGTAGCTTAAGCAGTGGTTAAGAAAATGTGGAAATACATATTTTATATGACACACGGCTAGTTATTTTAGCACAGGCATTACTCCGATTATTTTCAAGTCAATTCCTCCTCAGGCTGTAAAGAAATGTTGCCCTTATGTTGTCATTTTTAAAAGTCAAACTTACATCACTTTTGACAATTTCTTTAGTGGGTTTTTAAAATAACCCCTGGGCTGAGTTATACAATAATGTACAGCAATATAATCACATAGATGGCAGATCAGCCCATCCCTTCCTCCACCACCAACCACTCACCCCCAATTACCACATCCGAGCCACACACTCTACATATATATAGTCTAAAAACATATCCAGCTGAACATAACTACTACTAAATAAAATCCCAACCCTTCAAAAAGACACATATAAACACATATTTACAGGTCTATGGCATGTACAGTATGCTTGTTTGACCATGTCTGCGTCTGTGTTTACTTGCGATAGCTTCCAGGCCACAAACAAACAGTGTCTACCCTCCTGTGACTGGTCCTCAATGCGCACAGTCACACTATGGCTGCTGTCCTGACGGCCATACCTCCGCCGCGGGGCCCAGGAATGAGGGCTGCTCCCTAAATGACTGTATTCACTCCAGGTAACACTGCTCCCTTAACCCATTAAATCACATACATCTGTTAATAAATAGCATATTATATAAAATCGAAGAACTTCTAATAATCTCTTTTCTGCAGATTTGGCTGTTGTTTGGATGGAGTGACTCCAGCTCAAGGATTTGCAAGGGCTGGATGTCCTGAATACCGGACAGCTGTGGTAAGAATAACATCTGTTTCTCATTATGATTCAATAAACAGGATACTACTGAGGTTACTCAAAATGTATTTATTCTTTATGGAATGTGCCATATATATATGTATATATATGTATATAAGTATAGGGTCTTTTTGGCTCTTGAGAAGCTTTGGCAAGTCTGAGAAAATAATCATAAGGATGTTTGTGGTAATCGGTTGTCTTTTTACCACAAAAGCCTGGGTATTCCCCAGTTTTTTTTAAAAGATTGACCCATTTTACCAACTAAATTGTTTATGAACATCCTCTAACTAAACCCTGCTACATATATATATATATATATGTTCTAGATGTACTGGCTATACAGGACAATTGACCATCTTTCTTTTGTCTTTCTTTTTTTCTAAGCAACACACACCACCTCCTGCTGCCCCTCCAGCCAGTGGCAATGTGTGCTCCATGCCTCGCGATGAAGGCTCCTGCGACAGATGGGCGGTGCGCTTCTTCTTTGACTCTGGCACTGGCAGATGTACTGAGTTCTGGTATGGAAGCTGCCAGGGCAATGCCAATAACTTTATGTCCCTGGGAGCATGCCAGAGAGAGTGTGGTGGTGTAGTGATGAGGGATCCCCCAACTACACCTCGCAGAGGGACCCCAAGGAGAGGATCCCCCAGCGGGGCATAACCATCCACACAATTAATACCTCATAATCAGTACTGTCAACACAGCGTTTATTTTAACATCAGACTTTGGATTATAAATTATTTAGATCACATTATAACTGACACAATCCCAGCTCAGGGTTCTGATTTTGTTTGCAGTTTGATCTTTGGTATTTTGTTTGTGATGTTCAAAATATTCACTTTCACACATATATTTTGCCTTTTAGATCATATACAATTCAATGGTGTCAATGTGATAACCCAAGATAAATTAACCAAATCAATAAATGTTCAAATATCCGGTAATAAAACCCGAGTGTGGTCTATTTTTGCAATGTTTCCAAGACTACCGTTTGATTTTATTCCTCAATTTGATTGTATTCCTCAATTGTTTGGTTTTTACAAAACAAAATACAGTGGTGTAATATAAAATTCTACATTTACTGAGTTAGTAAAATATGGTTTATTTACTTTTACTATGGATTCCTATTTTCTAAATTATGTATTGCCTATTCAGGAGCAAACACTGTAGGATTCCTAGTTTTGTTGGCAAGTTAGATGATAAGTTTAAAAACATGTGTCAATGTTAGCATAAAACATTATTAGCCAGGTATTTTGATTAGGAAAAAAGGTTAATACTGTCTCACCACAGAACAAAAATGATGTTTAGAAAATACTGATCTTGTATTTTCACGACCAGACTTTTACTTTGAAACACATTTTTTATTTTGAAGGGACCTCACTTTACAACCGGAAATAAACGCATTTCATTTCCTCTGAGTATTTTTCTGCAAACAGCTGGCTACATTCATCGCACGGGGAATTGAAAAGCAATAAATACCGAGTTATTTTTGTCAGTTTTTCTTTCCTAACAATCAGACAGTGTCTGCAGTCAGCATAACCATGGTAAGAGTGTTTGGTTTTACGTTTTGATATGTTAAAACACACGCAGTATCAGCTGTATTAGCTCCTGTTAATCCATCACAGCTAAAGCTAAGCTAACAAGCTACGATGCTAATATTTCTCTGTCAATGGTGTCTTTTCCAGTTTCTTCGTTTGCTATGAACATCTCACGATAAAATGTAATAATTAACTCATCTTTATTTGACTTCTTAATGTGGAGTCAGTTACTTATGTGGGACCTATTGTAAAATAGTAATACGTTAAAGCCACAGTAAGTAATTTGATTAAAATAATGTGCATTTATCTCGTGTTATTCCTGGAGAAATGTACTCTAAATGCTTGGTTTTTCACAGTAACAGATACAACTGGGCATTAATATGTGATGTGATTTAACGTAATGTGATTGCATTCATTTGTGTATTTAATATTTTAAATCATCTTTACAGTCGCACACAATTTTACTTGTTCAACCAACCAAGAGACCAGAGGGCCGCACATATGCTGACTATGAGTCAGTGAATGAATGTATGGAGGGTAAGTCTTCTTCAGCTGTTTTTTAATAGTTATCTTAACCCATACTCTGGAACTAGCAACATTACATTTTTAATTAAACAACATTCCTCACCCTTGTAATAATTAATTTCAACATATCAGCATCAGAAACATATGTATTGCCAAGTAGGATAACGCATACTAGGAATTGTCACTAGTGTATATGATGCTTACATAAACAGAGTCAAAGAAGATACGTTGTAAGAAAAGGACCAACAAATAAAACTATAATAACATTAAAATACAGAGCAATATTTACATGAAATATAGATATACCATAACAAATATGTACAGAATAATATGACTAAATACTCGTAACAAATCAAATATGTGCAGTTTTGGTTGGAAAGGTGGAAAGCTGTGCAGATATTAGATATATTTGATATTATTTAGTGCTATCTGTGCCATTGAGCTAAGGTGTCCTTGGGTGCTTTGAAAGGCGCCGCTAAATAGAATGAATTATTATTGATATTTTGATGTTTATTAAACACAAATAGTTTTGTTATTATTCAGCATGTCCTGCACCCTTCTTCCAGGTGTTTGCAAAATGTATGAAGAGCATCTTAAGAGGATGAATCCAAACAGTCCCTCCATAACATACGACATAAGTCAGTTGTTTGACTTCATTGACGACTTGGCAGACCTGAGCTGTCTGGTGTAAGTATGATCTGCCTATCCATTCGAATGAAAATCAACCTGTGTGTCAATGTGTTGGTCACTTCCATTGAAAGTATAATTTGTTTTGTATACAGATACAGAGCGGACACTCAAACATACCAACCATACAACAAAGACTGGATCAAGGAGAAGATATATGTCCTGCTGCGGCGTCAGGCTCAGCAGGCAGCAAAGTGAACGCATCAGTAAGGAGTTGTCCTGCTAAACACTTGGAAGGAGTTTATGCTGCACTATTTTTCTACAGTGTCTTGAAGATCTGTGTATATGGACAACATTGTCAGTTTGACAAAGGGAAGGGTTTACATACTACACCATACATTGGGAAAGGAAAGGGTTTGAAAACTGGGGAAATTTCCAAAATGTGGGGCTTTATATAGAAAGGGAGTCGTGCTCTGCCGCCTACGTATGTTTGTTATTAGTTACACTAAGGTCTTGGTGGGGAGAATGACTGCCACGACTAACTTATTGGAGTGTGATCTGTGCTTGGAGAAATGTTCCTGGACTAGGTAAAAACTGTTTTTTTTGTTTTAGTAGTGTTTTTGTTTCCCTAGAAGTGGTTACATTTTCTTATATACATTTACTGAGCATTTGGATTTCGACATTCTTTTCACTGTGAATGCCGGTTATTTTACTTTTAAATAAAATAAATAATCTGCATTACTGACTCCAGAAGATTTACTTTACATATTCCATCTATGATTTCTGTCACTGTATCCTACCATCATGGTGGAAATGCTTCTTTTTTTTTGTAAACATGTTGATTTATAATAACGCAGTTTGAGTTTTCTTTGATTTAAACAAAAATAAAGTATTGTTTTCTGACTGGTCTCCACTCTACTATACAACATATCACAATGAAGAAAAAACATTTCCTGTTCATTCAGAATCTCAGTATAGAAATTGCTGGTTGACAAGGATCTACATATGGATTTGTGTATGTGTTTAATGGTTGGATTATCTGTTTAATTTAATGCAGCATTGCTGGATGATAAATCATAAAAGAACGAATGGAAACATTTATTGTGATATTAAACTGAGCTGCTATGTTACTGTTTCTTTAAATGTGGCGGCTGCCCTGTTGTTGCTGTGCTGGAAACCCCGTACCTACTCTGAAGGGACCCAAGATGGCTGATTACTCACGGGGGGGGCAGTTAGCAATTATCTGAACAAAAACGTCGGGAATGAATGGCAAATAGCCTTGTAATGTAAAGCGCAACATTTCAGTAATTATACGACTACAGTTGGTTGGTTTGCATATTTTTTGGGATGCATGAATACCAGTAAGGGGAGAGTGGTCTCTCCGCGGCCCCGAGCCAGAACATGGCGGAACACTTGGGGAAGAAATAGCAGCTAACGCTAGCTAGCTGGCGCAATATTCAGACACAATTCGAAACATTGATCCAGGGTAAACACGTCTGCGGTCGACAAGTGTAAAATAATGTTATCGGTGTTCCGTTTTTGTCATTTTGCTTCAAATGGTTGTTTAATATGTGTAGCGTAGGCTGTTAGCGTACTAGCTAGCTAGTTAACTCGTTAGGTTTTCTAGCTAACAGGCTAACGTACACACTGTACTAACAAACAGGCGGATTGTTTTGGGACCAGAGGTCATAACGGTGGGGCTTATTCTACGTTTCCTCTGTGTGGTCGGACTTTCAAATATTTGTCAGGGCTTGTTTTTGTGAATTAACACGTTAGCTAACGCCAATGTCCTCCGCACTGTAAATTAGACTGTCGTTAGCTTGACACAATGGCTGTTTTTATATGGCGCTACAACACTGGTGATATAAGTTTGAAGGCAGCTCGTTAAAATAATCAGATATTGTAGTTTGAATCGTCGTCTTCCTGGATAGTCGTATCATTCAAATAGCTGTCAGCCCGCTTGACCCCTGACACTAGTTAAGTTAGTCCTGGGTTGTAGAAGTGATCGGGTCTAAAATAAGTGAATTAAAGTTGTGGCGTTACTAGGTGAAGCAGACACCCTGTAAAGTCAAAGAAGGTCCGGAAGGGGGAAACCGGTCACAACTACCTGCCAGGATGACGGACACTCGTCGACGAGTCAAAGTCTATACCCTGAATGAGGACAGACAGTGGGATGACCGTGGGACTGGACACGTCTCCTCGGGATATGTGGAGCGTTTGAAAGGCACGTCGCTGCTGGTGCGAGCAGAGAGTGATGGTAAGCAAAATAAAATATACAAAGCCTGTGTGTAGGGGCCACATCAGGACATGAGAATGACATCAAGGGCAAGACATATGCGGTTTAATATTTTCTATACACAATCTTGGATTTTTTGTGAATGCTTCTCCAATTGTCTTTTCACATATGCTTGAGTTAACTAAAAGTTCTGCTTAGCTATCATAGCATTAAGTCAAGCAAAAACAATGCTTTCTGATTACATTTTGACAACATAGAGCCAACCCACACAATCTGTTACACAGGCATGAATATGTAAGTCAGTGGTACCCTAAACCAATGGGAGATTTTTAATCTTTGTAGTACATACCTCTCAAAATGTATTGAGAGCCTTAATTGATGTGGGATCTGGATCAGAATTTGCAAGGGGCCTGATTTGGCCGTCTCGAGCTTCCTTTGATGACAATAATGGGCTGACTTTTTAACCTCACAGGTTCCCTTCTGCTGGAGTCCAAAATCAATCCAAACACAGCCTACCAGAAACAACAGGTCAGTATATAGCATGGGGCAGTTATCTCATCTATAATATGGATTTTCTATCTCTGTGCACTGATTTGTATATTGCATTGTTTTTCTTTTGGAAAGGATACATTGATAGTATGGTCAGAGGCGGAGAATTATGATCTGGCGCTCAGCTTCCAAGAGAAGGCTGGCTGTGATGAAATCTGGGAGAAAATATGCCAGGTAACTACACTTAGCTTTGTGTGGGTGTGTGTTGTCTGCTCCGATTGTGTATTCATTTAATAGCAAGTGTGTTTGGGTGTTCCGGGTGAGTTTATGTGACTGTTACATCTCACATCTTTCCTCTGCTTGTGTCATTGTTTAGGTGCAGGGAAAGGACCCATCAGTTGACATCACCCAGGATGTGGTGGACGAGTCTGAGGAGGAACGCTTCGACGACATGTCCTCGCCGGGTCTGGAGTTACCTCCATGTGAACTGAACCGCTTGGAGGACCTGGCCGAGCTGGTGGCATCCTCACTCCCATCACCACTGCGGCGCGAGAAACTGGCACTGGCTGTGGAGAATGAGGGCTACATCCGCAAGCTCCTGGAAATGTTCCGTGTGTGTGAGGATTTGGAGAACAGAGAGGGACTGCACCACCTGTACGAAATCATAAAAGGCATCTTCCTGCTCAATCGTACTGCACTCTTTGAGGTTATGTTCTCTGAAGAGTGCATCATGGACGTTATTGGTTGTTTGGAGTTTGATCCAGCGCTCTCGCAGCCACGGCGGCATCGGGAGTTTCTGACTAAGACAGCCCGCTTTAAGGAGGTGATCCCCATCTCTGATCCTGAACTGCGTCAGAAAATACACCAGACTTACCGGGTGCAGTACATTCAGGATATGGTTCTGCCAACGCCCTCTGTTTTTGAGGAAAACATGCTGTCCACCCTGCACTCCTTCATCTTCTTCAACAAGGTGGAAATCGTGGGCATGCTACAGGTGAGATGGGTAGTCAATTATAAGGTTTGCCAGTGAAAAATATATGTTTTAACTTTCAAATAAGATGTGTTTGTGCACCATATTTTCACTTTTAAAATGTTCTCATTGCTAAAGTTGATGATACTCATGTATATTCTGTACAATATTTACATAAAGACATCATGCTTTCACCTCAAAAGGCACACATAAGATCATTTCTTTGAAATAGTGTTTATATCGTGAGGACTGGAAATTACAATAATTGTAGGATTGTGCAAAGGTTTTATTTCTGTCTGAATCTGCTTTACCCTGTCTGAGTTTGTCTGCTAGTCTTTTTATGGTCATGTGACCTTTGTGTTTTTGTACTGTGTCAACTCAGCAGTGTTTATGTATGGTTGTCTCCATGGAGATGGAGAAGTGTTGTGTAAATCAGTTATGCTGCGCTAGAGGAAAACTGAAACGGGCACTCTGTTGCCTCTGGTACACCGTGCTATGTGAGGTTCTAGAGACAAACATTACTGATAGTGACCTTTTTCTACCATGAAGCAGTCTCATTAGAAGAGCAGACCAAGTGTTTTATTTGTGTGCATTTACCTAGAATATTAATTTAAACACAATACTGGAATGCATATATTATTGAATGGCACTGATTCTTTAGTGTAAAACAGTCAAATACATAACCTATCATCCACACTTTTTAAGACTTTTATTTGTAATATACAGTAGATTTTCTTTAATGTAAAATGTAAATACCAGTAAACAATATGTTTTTGATGTATGGTTGTAAATTGAACCTGAAGCAATGTTCATAACATAAAACATGTCACACTATAACTTTAGTTCCGTCTCTGGTAAATGTGGTGGGTGCTAGATCAAAATAGATTTGATATGTCCACCAAGATGGAAATGTGGCTTAAATCCTTCCAGTTAATTTAGTTTCCTGGTTATTTATATCTGACTCATACTCTTGATCAATAACTACTTTGTTCACAGTGTTTTTTTTCTTATTCTGATTTGTTGATCCTTTGTGTGATACTCCCCTTCTCATCTTCCCTTCCTTTTTGATGTCAGGACGATGAGAAGTTCCTGACAGACCTCTTTGCACAGCTAACAGACGAGGCTACAGATGACGATAAAAGACATGAACTGGTATGTCAGACCTTTCATCAAAGATATTATTTATAACAAACTGTTCTCATGTCCATCCTTGTTTGATAGAGTTGTGGTTTCTTTCTTTCTCATAGGTCAACTTCCTAAAGGAATTCTGTGCATTCTCGCAAACGTTACAACCTCAAAACAGAGACGCCTTCTTCAAGACATTGTCAAACATGGGCATTCTACCGGCACTAGAGGTCATACTGGTGAGTGCAGCAACCTTAACGTCAATCAGAATGAAGTCAATTGGGCAATGTTTTCTTTGACATTTAAGAATGTTGGCTTTTGAGCTTTGGTGTTGAGATAAGCCTTTTTGCGTTACGATCATTTAAAGGTAGGGTATGTAATTCACTTCAGAAACACTTTTTGTTATATTCCATGGAATGCTCTTAACATCCCGATAGCAATGAATACATTAAATGCTTTGACAATAAATACATTAAAATATTTCATCTGTGGAAGCCGTGGCGCTGTAAAAAGCACGACCAATCATCTGAGCCGGCCCGGCTAAATTAACTGGATGGCCTACCTGCCTGTCAGCCTTCCATCTCGTGCACCAACTTATCTCGTGCCCTCATTGGTCATGTGCGCGTTCGTGTGTGTTGGAGGAGGGGCTCTGTAAGGAAGTCTGAAGGAAGGGGCAGATTTTTTCCGGTTGTGTACTTTCAAATTCTAGCGCACTCGAGCTGGTTTCTCCATGCTTACCTACCCTACCTTTTAAGATCAAGAAGTTACATACTCCTAGAAGAAAAATATTAAGCACAACAAGAAACATGTCAATATTATTTATCAGTGATGTTGGTATTACAGTGATGGCAGTATGTTGTTCGAGCTGATTTTCGGTTCCATTCAATGCTTTTTGGTTACAAGGGATAGTGCATAACACAAGTACACCTCGTTGATTTAAACTGCTGTATTAAAATAACCTTTCTTATAACTGAGGGGCCGGTTTTATGATTGTATTTTAGTGTGTGCATCTCTTGTTCAAAGTGAAGGACAATAGAGATTGTTCATCATCAGTTAAAGCAATGTTCATTATGACTAT